GGCCTACTCTAGCATTCATATCGCCTGCTAAAATCACGATATCAATCCGGGTTACTTTACACAAGAGGTCGTGTAGATTGTGATAAAATTCATCTTTGACTGCATCTGAGCTACAGTCTGTTGGAGCGCACGCTGACACGACAAACAAGTTTTGTCTATCGTGGTAACCGCTGCGTATCTTGAACGAACCTCTGAGTTTCACTGCGCACAATCTACTGTCGACTGGGATCCAATCCAGGAGGGCGGCCTCAGCTCTCCCAGTGAGAGCTACGCCGACGCCAGNATTGGTTAGATGGGGACGTCAATCGGATAATGGAGCTGGAGTCTTGAAGGCGAGTTTCTTGGATACAACACAAATCGATGGCTATTGTTTCGATCGTACGGGCTAAACACGCCTTTTGTCCTATACGCATCAGAGTACGCACATTAAACGTGGCTAGTTTGAAAGGACGTCGAGGGTGGGGAGGAGCTTCAGCTGGTTGAGGATTTGGTGAGACTTGGACGGCAGTCGAGTTAGGACAAGAGCGAACAGCGGCAGAATTCCCGTCCGAGGCACTACTGCTAGTACGATCGTCTGAAGTACCTGATAGAGATGGAATAGAGTTGGGAGGGTAGTGGTGAGGTGGGGGGAGGTTGGGAGGACAAAACGGTGTGTACGGTGTAGAAAGTCTTTCGATTGTTGGAGGTTTGCAGTGTGAAATCATGATAGTGAGAACGTTCATAGTTGTCTGCGTTAAGGGTTATTGTACTACTTGATTGCCCAGTCCAGAGTAGGTCTTGTTCGAGGTTGCACTCTAGCCTTTGCGCAACCAAGCGCGGATTGCAAGGCAGCACTGATGTTCCAGATGAGCTGGTGGCCGGTTTTCGGTTCATTCGCCTCTTCTGGAAAACCTTGTCGGGTAAATGTTGCAATTATACCGTAATAGGTGAAGTGCAATATGGTAATGTACAACTAGACATGTTTTTCTGTGCGTTCTGAACCGAGAACAATACGCTTCTTTTCGAGGGTAATGAAATCAGTTGGTGATGGTGACGATGTTGATGATGATGATGATGATGATGATGATGATGATGATGATGATGATGATGATGATGATGATTCGGATGATGATGATGATGATGATGATGATGATAATGAGGAGTAGGCGGAAGAGAAGAATGCAGCGACGCTCGTTTTGAATACGATCATTTCTTTTTTTCGAAATAGAAACATGCATACTAAAGACGTTCATGTGGTTCGATTAAGATGAGAACCTTCAATTTTTCAAGATAAAGTACGAAGCTTGACATTTGGTGCGCAGAGCATGTGAGCGTTTTGTAATTGAAAATTATATGCGCTTTCCAGATTGTATAGAATAAGGCCTTTTAGGCCGCATACCACAGGGAAAATATGACACATGAGAACAAAACGGTAATAGGAATTGAGAGCCACTTGGACAATGCTAATCATGGTTTGGGTGATGACTGAATACAGAGTGGGTTTTGTTGGCTGAGTTGAAGTGATTTGAGGTGAGAATTAGTCGAACGGTTAAAACAGCGCGACCACCAACGAGTGCCTCAGCATCATGAGTTTGAAAATAAATACATCATAAATACATTTTAGTTTTTGGTTTTCATGTTTTCAAAAGGTGATTACTGTAAATGAGATAGCTAGGATACCAACCTGCACGTTTCTCATACTAATTTGTGCATTATGTGAATATTATTACTGATTTTAGTTTAAGAGCTTCACAGTTTATTTTACCACTAAAACATCTGAAAAAATCGAGCAGCACTGAGCCCCCCAGTGGGACCAAATTTTCGATTTAACTTGGATTCCATTCTGACTTGGTCTCCATTGGGTCACTGTCCTCGGCATTGTATATTAGAAAGTTCTCGGGAAATGTGCTGAAATTCCCAAAACAATAAATAAAACCATCAACTTTTATTATATTATTATAGCATGCACGAGTGATGTAGATGCAGTTTGGAACGGTATATTGGCCGTTTGATATACTAAATGTAACAATGGTTTGACCTTCATAATTCCAAAGGAAGAAGTGGTTAAAATTTAAATAATCTTTTTTCTTCCTGAAATTTATCAGTTGAATATTGTGATAAACTCGGGGGTCTGTGGACGTTCAACTGTTGCCTAGCGAAGTGCGGGATTTGAACTCATGACCTCCGGGTCACCACTGTAGGGACAATTTGATCATCAGAGCCTCGCCGCTATGACCGAAAAATCACACTGTTCTATCTATGTATCCACTTGTCCCTAAGGCTAGTTTTGTTTTCAATATGCATCGTAAGTGAGTCAATCAGCACTGAAAATTTGGCTAGACATTGTGCAACTCAGTCCCTGGTGTTGGAACTCGTTACTACTACACAAATCTGTACACAATGTGCTGTCGACCCCCAAACGAAATTCACATTCGAACTCTGCTTACCAGCCCTCAGCTGATAGTATTATGTCCTACGTGCTGCTCATCGGTCAGTGTAGTTAGATGTCCCGAGGCTAGCCATTTAGTACATTACTCATTATTCAGGAATATGGTTGGTAAAAGTATACACAAAACAGCCACTGCATTCATCAATTGATACGGATTATTCCGCCTTGTTTCGAAAACCGCTAGCTGTAGGTGCTTTTTTGTAGTTCAAATTGACCACGTTCAAAATCAATCTCTCGCCCGTTTGCATGCAATAAAACCGATTGGAGAATGATTGCAGTGAACAAAATTGTACAAAACTTGAATGTGACGCGGGGGTAAATAGAGCACACGGGGGGAGCATTTTACTGATTTTCAAAGAGGAGAGAGAGAGAGAGGGCGAGAAAACGAACGCAAGCCAACCAGCCAGCAAGCGAGCACGCTTGAGACGGTTCAGGTGACAGTCGTGAAATGCAATACGAACCACATGGTAAGAAACAATACCACGTCTCATCTATAGTGAGTTCCGAAGAAGTATTATTTTCATATGGTGGCTCTTATTGTTGGAAAAACCGCAAAAGCCCACATCCCATTTTAGTTCACTCCAGTCTGTCGTGTATTCAAGTCAAAAATCGCCTTATTCATCCCGATGGTTGGATTCTCAGCTCCTTTCACACACCATCGTCATTCATCATCGTATACAGTCACAGGGAAAAAGTAGAATACAGCATCTTAAATTCAAGAAAAATATGGCGTAAATGTCTGAAAATGAATATCAATTGCGTTGGAAATTCAATAACGGATGCATTTTGAGCCAGAAATCTCGAAAGATAGGGGATGACGGACAAACGATAGGCAGNAGGCAGTAGTACGAGCATACACAATTTTATAACGACATCTGGTTACAGAAGTCGATATGAATTGTTTCAGTTTAGTGTGTAATGGGTGAATTATGTCTGAATATTGTTGTAGAAGTTTGCGCAAGAGATAAAATGTTTGTCGGTGGTAAAGTTGAGCAAGTGTAAATAGGGAATACCGCTTTTGCACGAAATAATTTGAATAGACTGGTGTGGAATTGTGTAATCTTTAACTCTAAGAGCGGTAAATAAAACTGGGGAGCAGTAAATAAGATGAGTAACAACACAAGAATATACAAATCCGGTGAGTAAATACGGTGGGACTTTTAAAGAACACGGAAAATAAAGAAACACAATCTTCGAATCTTTTCAAAGGTAGAGTTTAAATATGAAATCCAGGTGAGATCTTGGCAGATAGTAACACCGAGGTATTGCTAGGAACGTACTGAGGGAACAGGCTGGTTGTCAATTCCTCTCAAAGAAATGTAGCCGTTCTTTTTTGGCTGGCGAGGTGACATCCCTACATTTAGATACATTGAGAGATAATTTGGGTATACAAAGACCACAAGCTTAAGGCAGATAAACAGGTTTGAAGCTATGAGAAGCGGAAGCACCTTGGAATTTGGAACCTATTGTGACATCATCAGGACACTTAATAAGAAAATCATCTGGGTTAGTGGGAAGGTCACGAATATAGAAAGAAAAAAGAAAAGGGGATAGAATTAATCCCTGGAGAACCCCTGAATAAACCGGTAGGGAGTCAGAAATTTTTCCAAGAAACTTCTTTAATTGTGTTCTACCAGTAGAATAATCTTGGGGTGAAGACAGGGTAATATGGGACAATACAGCACCCTGGAGTAGAGACAAAAGCCTGCTCCTGTAGACACAATTAAAGCATTACCATAACCGAGGAGCATACGCACTAAATGCTGTGCCGTGTATGTCTAGGGTTTGAGTTTACCAAATGCGCAAGGGCGTCCAAGGTAGAAAGTTGTTGCGATAGGCGAATTGACTGTGATCTAACTTCCTAGTGTTGGGAATAATGTTACTATGCATACACTTTTCGAAAAATTTTAGTAAAGGAAAAGTACAGGCGATTGGTCGCAATTTTCCAGCTTCTTTTTTGGGACTGGTATGATGCATACAGGTCTCCAACAGTCGACAACTTTTTGTTCCTCGAAGCAACGGTTGAAAATACCGGTAAGTGGCTGCGCCCATTCCCTGAGGACTACTGAACATAGTGCATCGGGACCGGAAGCTTTTGATATTTTTAGGCACTTCAGCTGTGCACGCACCTGATTAGAATTGGCATGTGAAACTTCACGATGGTCAAATGATTGGAAATATGGATAGGACACATCAGTTTGAGTTAACGTGGAAAACATGCAGTTGAGTTCAATAGCTGTGGGTTTAGGCCCGCGTAGTTCGATTTTTTTCCCAGAGTTTTTTCATAGCACTCCATATTTGCTTGCAATTCCGATCACCATCTAGGGTTTCAGTGTAGAGTTTGTCAAGATTTTAGATCTCAGTCTTGATCAACACTGACGTTTGTTTAACTTAAGCTCGGTCACGACTTTTGTTTGTCCGTTCTTTGGTTCTTCTGAGGGTCTTCAAAGTGGGGGAAGAAAATCTGGTGGGGCTGATGTAAATAAGAGCCATGGGGCAGCAGAGGTCAAAACAGAAGTTCAGATAGCTAGCGAGGTGTTCACACTTAATGATGCCAAGTGGGCCGAGTCATACGGCCTAGGGAAAATTTTCCGGTTGGATGTGTCCGTGTACCATGGTGTTTCTTTGAGTAGACTTTTGACAAAACGTTTATGATACAGTGAACGGAGTTTGCCAGAGAGGCTCCGCTTCGCGCAGCAAACAGGTCCGGATCGTTCGAAAACATAAGGTCAAGCTGAGCGTTTTCTCTTGTGAGGAAATATGAGAGAATATGAAGAGAGAGAAGTCAAGAAATGAATATCTGCGTGGTTGAAATCACCATTAACGATAAGAAGGGAGCGTTCCGTGTAGTTGGAAAGTTCGAGTATAAATAAATCAGCAAACGTCTGTACATCACAAACTGTACCGGCGAGCGCGATGTAAAACTTTGATGTGACGATGAAACGATATTTACTAAGAAAACGGAGTTTACATTCAATCGAAATACATGAGATACATCCTACGTTGTCGGTGAATATAATCTTTTTAGACTTGCACTAAGGTGATTTAGTGTAAGTTATTAGACCACGGCCCCGATTTCGTGGTAAACAGTTTCTATCCTTCTGGTGTATACCAAGAAATCCAGCTCAATCAAAGAGTCGTTGATGTCAGGATGCAACCACGTTTCTTGCAGCATAATTATCCCCAATGCATGGTATTTTTTCATCCTTATCAATTTCTTGAAGTCACTCATTTTTCCTAATAGTGGTCGTACGTTTGACGAGGAAAAAGCAGGGATAGACAGTTTATAAAGTTTTCTGTGACGTAAAGCTACTTGTCAGCCTGCTCAGTGTTTTCTGAGGAAACCTGACCGGGACTGTCTGCTTTTTTAGTATCTATTTTTAACTTGACGACTAAACTGATAAAGAATGCCACTGTTGAGCGATAACACAAAGTTTCCAATTTTTTAAAGATTCTTGGGCGTATATGTTCATAAAAGAGATTAAAAAAAATTTGATTCAAACAATTAAATCCAATTAGTGACATAAACGTTGATATATTGTTCACTGGAACAAATGTAGCACGGCCGAATTTCGAATGGCCCGTCTATCCCCGGAGCACTTGTGATGTCATCGCGGCCGGTGATGAAACGTTTGCAAACAAATTACCAAGCTCAGCCAACGGACGAAATGGAATTCAGTACACCCGAGCTACGGGAACCGAGTTTTAATACTTTGTCAACATATTTCGGTAGTTGAAAATTTCATGACTG